TATTTGGAGCATCAACTATATAATGTTTGCTACAGATTCAAACCTACTGAATAAAATAACAAACACATGCCCACATTTTAAAATCAAATATTAAAATATCATTGATGAATAACTTTATTGTCTAAACATTTCCTTTTATAACTATATGTACATATTGAAAATTAACATTTCATATTCAGCTCGATGAATATGAGTCTTTACTGTGGTGAAACGTTTTCGGATATCTCAATAGGTTTCTGATCAAAGTAGTATTTCAGGAGTTTTGAAAATTGTTCCTTCAAAATGCTTGACTTTGGTGGGACATTACAGATCCTTAATTTGTTGAGGTCTCTCTGAGAGTAAGCATTTTTACCACAAATGAATCTCTAGCCAGAGCAAGAAATTACAGGTGGTCAAATTGCTCTCTCACTGAAGTTGTACTCATATCTTTACATAATGGCATTTAATTGATATAAAATTTAGTATCATTCTATGCTCTTCTTGTTTTAAAAAATGATACTGTTTTCTCAGACCAGTGTTACTTAGAAAACCTTGGCTAACTAACAAGTTTCCAAGAATATTATTTAATGTTATACTGCCAAGAACATCTTAGATAATTCAACAAAAATGCCTTATTTTAAAAAGTCCAAGTACATTTCCTTCTAATTTTGCAATTATTTATTGAGATCTTTTGATTGCTGAGTTGGATATTAACAGGGATCCAAAAGAAATATATATCTTATAAGGAGTTTATAATCATTTTGGGAAACAAAACATGGAACAGTGAAAAAACAGGAAAGGATATAGTTTAGTTCCAACTTGATAAATTAATATTTTTGTTGAGTCTGACAGTCATCAGTAATCTGCCTGTAGCATTTATTATTATCATATAATTTTTGGTTACTTAATAAGTCATACTAAGTCTGGCTTTATTTCATATTTTCTGTACTTAAAAAAAAAAGAATTATTTTTCAATACTGAAGTCAAAGCACATTGTTGAACACATACTATGTGCCTGCGTACTTATAGGCATTAGGGATAAAAATGTGAGCAAAACGGATAGTCCCTTTACTTAAGTACATTGCTGCTTTGTGTGTATATGCAGTATGTGTGAGGAACGGAAAGGGGACAGCAGTAGGAGTAGAAGGTGCAAACTCTACATCTACAGTGGCCCTGGCTGGGAATGGATATTTTTTACCCCTCATCAATGTTGAACTAAACAATTTTATTAGAAGTCCTGTTGTATTTACCCAAATGAGTTCAAGCCTTACACACACACACATGTGAAGGAATGTCTATAGCAATAGTAGGGGCCCAGTGCACGAATTCGTGCACCTTGAAAGGAACTGTGGGCTGTGAGGCTGCGGTGGGCACAGGGATGAGTCTCGGCCCATCCTCCGTGCCCCCATCTAGCCCCTCCATCCTCGGCCCCTCATCCCCTGCTTGCCTTCAGCCCTGTTCCTGCCATCACTGCTCCAATGCGCTAACAGTGCCAGCCCCACTCGCACCTGCTGATGGTGCAGAGCGATTTGGGCCAGCGCCAGCAGTGGGTGCAAGTGGGCTGGCCCCTCAGGAGCAGTGGGAGGTGGAGAAGCCCTCTGGGGTAATCAGGGCCTGGTGCTCACACCCACGGTGCTGAGTGATTGGAACTGGCGCCAGGCACCAGCACCTGGTGCGAGCAGGGCAGGCTCCGGCTTTGATGCGAGCAGGGCCAGTGCCAGCAGCAAGTGCATGTGCCAGGCAGGACTGGGGCTCATTGGAGCAAAGAATTTTCAGTAACAACCAGAGGCACACCCCAATGACAGCAACCAGCATCCTGCCTTGGTCTGGTGCCCCAGCTCACCTGCTCCACCATCCTGCCACGGCCAACACCCGCCATGTTTCTTGCACGCCCCCTGGTGGTCAGCACACATTAAAGTGAACAGTTGTTTGGTTGTTCTGCTATTCGGTCTATTTGCATATTAGCCTTTTATTATATAGGATGTCTTTGTAAATTTTCTAAGCCCATAGAATGTACAACTCAAAGAATGAACATTAATGTGAACTATGTACTCTGGGTGATAATGTGTGTCAGCTGTAGATTCATCGGTTGTAACAAACACACCACTCTGGTGGAGAACGTTGGCTAGAAGAGAGTATATGTGAGGGGGCAGGGAGTATATAGGAAATCTTTGTACCATCTCCTGTGTTGCGGTGAGCCTAAAACTGCTCTAAAAAATAAAGTTTGTTTTTTTTTAGAAAGATGAAGATGGTTAGTGGAAAAATATTATAAAAGCGGGAAAATATTAGAAAAATTAGGTGGTTTTTACCTGACTGCATCTATTTCTGTTTGAAATGTAAGATTTGCTTGTTCCCTGAGAAGTGAGGAGAAAGGATGCGTGAAATGGTTCCCCCAGAGAGCAGCAGGTTTAATTTGCTAGGAAGTCAGTGGTAAACTTTTCAAGAGAAGAGTGCCCATTAGAGATTTCTGCCCATAACTAGGAAGTGAATTTTAACTTTGTTTTGTAAGTTTTTCAAATAAAAATATCAGGATCAGCTGGTAGTGATAGGGATCCCTAGAACCTAGGTTTTGGTCTCGAAGTACTACTTTCTACGATAAGAAAGCAGGGTTTCTTAAAGAAATGGCTCGTTTTGGCCTGGGGCAAACATTTTTAAGACAAAATGGAATATCTTCATAGCGGAGATCAAGAAAGGCTCGGGCCAATGTGAAGAGCTTTCCACTGGTTAAAAATGGCACAATTTGGGTTTCAATAAAGGAAATAACTGTAATGGATTAAGACAAACTATGTTTAAATTCCAGAGTTCATATTAATCCAACACACACACACACACACACACACACACACACACACACACACACCTACCTTAGGGGAAACTCTTGAAGGATTCTAGCAAATGCATTCTTTAAAAACAAAAACAAAAACAAATAAACCTAATAAGTAGCCTTAACTAGTTTTCTCAGTGTTTAGAGCATTGGCCTGCAGATCAGAGGGTTGCAGATTGATTCCTGGTCAAGGGTGCATACCTGGGTTGCAGGCTAAATTTTGGCCTAGTTAGGATGCCAATGGGAGGCAGCCAATTAATGTGTCTCTCTCACATTGAGGTTTCTCTGACTCTCCCCCACTCTGCCTACCCTCCATTCTCTTTCTTAAAGAAAAAATCAATGGGAAAAATATTCCCAGGTGAAGATTAAAAAACAATAACAACCCAGCAAACAAAAAAAAACACCTGATAAGTAAAGAGAAAGACTCAAGGATTTATCTTTTTTTTTAAATATAAACTTTACCTAGGGTAACTAGATAATAGGTATGGTGAAAATTCTCTTTGAAGAAGTGTTCCACTAAAGGAAAATCTTCTCCTCTTACTGTGTTAGTATATTTAATACTTTCTACCCTCCATGGGCACACAGTGAAAAATATACACTTGCAACCTATAAGTATCATAGAATTATACACTTGAAACCTATATAATTTTATCAAATAATGTCACCCAACAAATTTTATTAAAAAAGAAATGTTCCAGCTAATAAATAATGGTTGATAGAATTGGGATATCACCATTTTGAACTAATGAAGGTAGATATTATGCATCAGCAGCTGCTAAAATCACAAAAAGGACTACAAGACATTATGCATCTTCTGGTAACACCAGACTGTCAAGTGTCTTGTAAAAAAATTGAAGAACCCATTTATGCCTTTAAATTCAATTACCAATTTTCCAAGAAATACTAAGTGAAGAGTAACATGTTAATCTGTACTATAGAGATGCAATCAGCAAAATTCAGAGTTGGAGAAACTTGACCAGACAGATTAAACAGTAATCCATAGGGATGGTTTGCTATTTGGATGATGAAACTATGAACTTAGGAAAGCCAGGAGAGTGATTATTCTTAGGAGGGTGGAGTGTTGATTGAGAGAAAACATGTAGAGGGTTCTGGGTAGCTGACAGCACTTTCTCTGCTTCAGTGGATATTCTGTAGAGGGGGGGTTCCTTATAACACACTTCATTAAGCTGTACATCTGTTGTAGGTAGTTCTCTGTAGCTATGTTTAACAAGAGTAAAGTAAAACTTTTAAATGAGACTAAGAAATTTAAAAACATTTCTATCTTAATTTTTAAAGTGACTTGTTAGACTTTCATAGGAACTGGGGATTTAAGGGTGAGAAATATAAAAACCTTCAGTTGAGGCTTTAAATAACAGCATTGCAAACAATAGCTAAAACCACAAATCAAGTAAGTGCCACACGAAAGGACTACTCAGCAATATTAGTCACTTCAGCCTTGCCAATGCATGTTCTCCTTTCCACACTGTGGGGGGGAAATATATATATATATATATATATATATATATATATATATATATATATATATATATACGCTAAGCAACCAGAACAGTGGAACAACTGGAATGACCCGTTGCTATGACTCTCACTGCGGTGGCCAACCGGCCTGATCCAGCCCCAATTGCCACCCCCCAACCTCCCACGGCCTCTCCCCCCATTGGCCCCACCCCCAATCAGCCCTTCCCCAGCTGGCCCCTGCCAGATCAACCCCAATAAGGGTGGGATGGCCAGACCCCACCCATGCATGAATTCATGTACCAGGCCTCTAATATTTAATAAATGGGACATACACTGAAAATGCCCGTTTGCATGTTTCATGTTCTTTAAAGGTTTCTTAATATATACATTATTTAGTGAAAGACTCTAAATGACCCTGTGAGTGGAATTAATGATGGTATTTAAATTCTCTGTAGATAAAATAATGAATGTTTCATTAATTAAAAAATATTTAAGAATATGTAATAGATGAATGAATGTACCTTTATTGCAGGTGTCAATATATTATTTAAATACTTTTTTTAATATAAGATTTATATGTCTTATTTGTTTAAGGAAATAATTTTCACCATTTTGATAAAAATTAAACTGATTTGAAATTTTTTTTTAATGTTCATGATAGTTTGAAGTGAATTGATAAATCTGAAGTAAATTAAAACTACTATTTTTTTTTTTCTGTCAGAGGTCTTTTTATTAGCATCAATGATCGAGGGCATATTGCTTCGATTCTTAATGCATGGCCAGAAGATGTCATCAAGGTAAGTTATCAAAGTTTCCCACTGTGGCAAATTTGTTATTTTCCCTCTTCTAAAACTTGTTTACAGTTATCATGACCTTCAGTAGCATTCACTAGCTTTTCTAGTAAATGTCACCTAATTTATATTCCTTTGATTTTTGTATATCATTTATTTATTTGCTGTTTCCTCATTATTTCTATCTAATTTCTTAGTATTTCTTTATTCATTGTAAGCGATGAATAAATGTTGAATAGACGTTGAAATGGTATATGAATATGTTTGAGCAAACTCTGTTTTCATATGGAGCATTCAGTAAGAGTAACCCAGGTAGGCAAAAATAATCTCTTAATTTCCTTTATCATCCGGAAATTAGGAAGCTCATCAGACTTCCCTCTGTGAGTGAATGGATGAAAATACAGTAGCAATATAATCTGACATTTCTTAGGTTTCTCTTTGAGACACTGTACTTGACTCACTCTTGCATTCATCCTGATAATTCGTGGGGAAAGGAAGGCACAGCTTATCAGTGGTCACACAGCAGTGCCTGCTGGTGTGAGAACTGAATGCAGGTCCCAGAGCCTTTGCTTTTAGACTTGAGCGCGACCACCTGCCTTGTCTAAAGAAAGTGAGATGTTCTTGTCCCTCCTCGGCCCCGCTTTCCTTCCTGTTAGGTGCACAGTAACTCCGTGTTAACTTTCCGGATTAAGACTGAATGCACTGGCATCTGTGGTACAAAGGCTCTTCAGCTGTGACTTCCCTTAACGGTCTTTTCTGTTGGAGCAGTTGTGGCTAGAAGTGGTTCACTCTGTTCTTTAAGGCTCGTGCTGGGCAAACTTGTAAGCAAAATGTGTTTTACTATTTCCAGTCTTCCCAATTTTTCTCTTCCTCCCGCTAAGTTGCTCCCTCAATTTTTCTCCCACCAAGTAGTCTTGCACTGTCCACAGGTCCAGTCCTTAGGAACTATTCTAAAAATGTGCTAATTCGATAAAGTATAAATGTCTGATCCTCTCAAAAGAAGGATACTTAACATTTATTTATCTTAACCTTCACCCAAGGACATGATGAGAGAGAGAGAGAGAGAGAGAGAGAGAGAGAGAGAGAGAGAGAGAGAGAGAGAGAGAGAGAGAGAGAGAGAGAGAGAGAGAGAAATGCTTGATTGGTACAGGCCCCACCTAGAGATAGAACTGCAACCCAGGTATGTGCCCTGACCAGGAACCAGCCATCAATGCATGAATGATGCTCAACCAACCGAAACCCCACTCCAGCCCAGCAAGAATACTTACATTCAATCAGGAGAGGATATGAAGAATGAGTCAACATAGGAAATGGTTCTGGGGTAGAGAAGTCTAACAAATATGCCTGTAATCCTAAGGGCTGGGCAGTAAGCCATCCCCTTGCTTTATGTTCTTCATTAATAGTTCATCTATATCCTTCCAGCTCTTAGTATTGGGTCCTCACCAATATCCCTGATCTTAATTATAAATATAGTCATTTAAAGAGCCTACCATAGTGTCTGCACATAGCAGACACTTAATAAATGACAGCTCTGTATTGTAACAGAAAGGTGAAAATTAAAATGTAGTCTCTACTGTGTAGTTGGAACACACTTGAAGCAAAGGCAATCTGTTATTAGACAATATCTAAGTAAACGTCTGGTATAAATTATAAATGCCATGTTTCTTCATTCAGAGGATACTATCATCAGAAAGGGATGGAACAGTTTATGCCAGGACACATAAACCAAAGAACTGGGTATTTGGAGGCTTCTCAGCTATTGCGCCTTGTATAACCAATTGTCCTCCAAGTGGATGCAACTAGTTTTAAAACTGCTCTGTTTCTTTTCAGTTCCCAGTTTGAGTTTTTATTTCCCAATACTATTCAAGCTGCCCCTCTTGATCTTGATTAAATCTTTGTGTTTTATTTAATCCTCATGAGAGGATAGGTTTGGATAGAGGAAGGGAGGGAGGGAGGGAGGGAGGGAGGGAGGGAGGGAGGGAGGGAGGGAGGGAGGGAGGGAGAGGTTTCAGCCTGTTGCCTCATAAGCACTCCAACCTTTGATTGAACCCACAAACTAGGTATATGCCCTGATTAGAATCTGACCCACTACCTTTTGGTGTCTGGGATGACTCTCCAACCTATTGAGAAACCCGGTCGGGGCTGGATTGTTTAAGTCTTTATGTGCATAGTCCTCTCTTCTGTTTTTGACAACCATATCACATGTTTATTTTTAACAAAATATAGAATGCCTTTATCAAATTTATTTACTCTCCTATGTATATATCAAATTTATTCTTTCACATGTACAATTACATAATATTTTTTCCATGTTGACTTAATTTATGTATTTTGAGAGTTTAATATTTTATTACATAAATATTAACTTCAGAAATGGAGACCAGCAACTGTGCCCCAGGATTTGTGAACATCTATCTATCTATCTATAGATATTATTTCTTTTTCTTCTAGGCTGTTGTGGTGACCGATGGAGAGCGTATTCTTGGCTTGGGAGACCTTGGCAGTAATGGCATGGGCATCCCTGTGGGTAAACTGGCTCTGTATACAGCTTGTGGAGGGATGAATCCTCGTGAATGTCTGCCTGTTACTCTGGACGTGGGAACAGAAAATGAGGTAAAAATTTAAGTCTCTAAGAAAGCTGTTAATCTTCAAAAACAAAAACTACAATTCCTTTATTTTGAGCTTATGACAAGAACCTCATAAATATTATTATTCAGAGAATTATTTTTTCTGGCTGGTTTTCTTCGCCTCAAACCTATCCCCCAACTTTTACAAGAAAATTATTTTTTCTTTTCATTTTCCCTTCTTTATATTAATATTTTACCAGCTTTTTTAGTGTTTATTATCCTTTGATGAGTATTTACAAAATTATTATATAGAATATTATGTTTTACTTTAGACTATCATAGTTTCTTTTTTTTAAATTATTATGTTCATACTACATAGGAACCCAAAGGATATTAAGTTTAATCATTCTGAAATGCTTTTGTCCTAAAAGTCTGTATTGAACCTTAGGTAGATGATTAGGAGTTTAGTCTTTCTCATCCTACAATGGTTTTTAGAATTTTAAAGTCAAATAGTACATATTTTTGCTCTTCCTTTATTGCTGATATTCAGGGTTGCTTATGGGTGAAAATTACTAGAAATTAAAGGTAGAATTTTCTGAAGTAGAGATGAAAGACAAGTCAATTAAGGATAGACTTTTTAAAAGTTACATACACATTTCAGACCTGGGTCCAGAACAGATTCATTATCAAATAAGAACTTGATACTTGACATAAATATGTATATTTTTTATAGTTTTTTTTTTTCCTTCCTAAAGCAATTTAAGATATAACCTTTGACCTGTTAATAGTCCTATGTAATGAAAGCCTAATATGCTAAATGTCCGGTCGTCTGGTCAGCCATTCAACCAATCAAAGCATTATATTTTAATAATATGCTAAGGCTGCTCAACCGCTTGCTATGACATGCACTAACCACCAGGGGGAAGACAGTCAACCAGTTAACCAGTCACTGTGACATGCACTGACCACCAGGGGACAGATGCTCCTATGGTAGGTTAGCTTGCTGCTGGGGTTTGGCCGATTGGGACTGAGAGAGACAGGCCAGACATGCCCTGGAGCCCTCCCATGGCCTCTTCTCAGGTGGCCAATCTCCCACATTATTCCCCAGCCCCGATTGTGCACCAGTGAGGTCCCTGGTGCACAACTGGCACCCACTTTGCCTGCGTTGTCCCACAATGCAGGACCCCTTGGGGAATGTTGGAGAGCTAGTTGCAGCCCAGTTCCAGAGGCCAGGCCAAAGGAACCCACTGGTGCACAAATTCGTGCATTGGTCCTCCTATCCTATATAATAAAAGCCTAATATGCAAATGGACCGAACAGCAGAACAACCAGCAGAACGACTGGTAGCTATGACATGCATTGGCCACCAGGGGTCAGACGCTCAATGCAAGAGCTGCTCCCAGCCCACAGGTCTCAGGCCAGCCAAGGTGCGTGCCAGCAGGAGCCCCCAATTGCCCCACGATCACCCCTGAGAGGGAGGTGACCAGCAGTGGTGGAGGAGGGTGGAGTTGGCAAGTGGGCAGTGCCAGGCCAGCCAGGGTGGGTGCCAGGAGGGCCCTCCCCGATCTCCCTATCGGTTGCCCCACAGATCAGCCCTGATCGCCAGCCAGGCCTAGGGACCATACCTGGGCATGAATTTCATGCACAAAGCCTCTAGTCTATGTATAGAAAAGCCCAGCGACTGAATGGTGGAATGACCAGAACAACCAGTGATGTGCACTGATCACCAGTGGGCAGACATTCAACTCAGAGCTGCCCCCTGGTGGTTAGTGGGCTCCCACAGGGAGAGCACCACTCAGCTAATTGGGATGAGTTTTGCTTCCCCGGGGAGTGGGCCTAACCTGACAGGTGGACATCCCCCGAGTGGTCCTGGACTATGAGAGGGCACAGGCTGGGCTGCGGGGACCCCTGCCCAAGTGCACAAATTTTCGTGCACTGGGCCTCTAATGTTTTAATAATAACTTGAACAGTTTTTGTGTTTTTTATGTTATATTTAACTTCATGTGTATACATGAGTGCTCATTTAATCTTTATAAAGGTTACATTTTGACAAAAACACATTGCTTATCTAGCATTTTTTTTCAATACCAATAGAAATGACTTAGAAATTATCAAAGCTGACCTCTTAAGACAATTATTCTAAAATTGAGTAAGAAGATTTAATATTTCCTCTTTTTTCATATATTTTATAACATTCTTCTGTGATAAATTCCATTAAAATCAAAGTTTAAAAATCACAAAATCTGTAGAACGCCTTAAAAATTTTAGGAAGAAATAAAGAAGAGTAAAGAGTGATAAAACAGGCATGCAAAAATTTTAGAGTTCGGTTTTAAACTTGGGCCTTTTAATGAGATTATGTAATGTGGACATAGAGTAAATTGTGCACTACTGAAACTGAACACTGGGACTGTTGCACTAATTGTATTATTTCCCTGAAATATTTAATTTATTGAAAGTGTGTCTTAAAATTGTCAAATTTGCTAATTGTCTTGAAATTTTCTCACATTATGTCCATTTATTTTAGTAGTCACTGCTTTTATGTTATTCCATTTCTGTCTCTCAGCCTCCACAGCCTGCAAAACCCATCTATCCATCATCAAATTTCTTACTTTGCCCTGCTGTAGATCTAGCTTTCTAAATTCTTTTTCCATAAAATGCCTGGTGCTTACCATATTTCAAAGTTTTTGAGCTGCTAAATTAGAAAATAATCTGTTATGTTAAATTAATCTATTTTTAAAGTATTCTATGTTATTTCTAGATACTTTTGCTTACTGCCAGTGGACTGTTGGAGACATTAGGGGGAAAAATTAAGTGAGGGGTGGAATATTAACTCTTTGACAGGTCACTGGAGAATCTTTTTAACCTGAGAGACTTTCCTGAAATTATTCAGAGTTTTGTAGAGTTTAATTGAGTCAGATTATGTTGATTTAACTGAGTTAGATAAATATTGAGCACCTACTATCTGTCAAGGCCTTAGTGAAGGCTAGATAATATCAGCAAAAACAACTTAAAATCTTGCCAGTAAGATGCTCTGAATCTAGAAGAGGAGACACATACTTAGCTAGATTCAGCATGCACTGAATGCTTTGATGGGGACATCTGACAAACCATTAAGTATAGTTAGCAAACCATTTCTCTGCCAGTTCCCATATATGCCTAGTCTCTAACTATATTTCAGCAACTTACTTATAATTTATCTTTTTCTAAAGTCATATGTAAGAAATTTAATGGTGAAAATGTATATTACAAATAGCTGGACTTCTTGTCCTAAAAAGAGAATAAATTATTAGTTCCTTTAGATAGTTTAGCTTTACCTGAAGTTGGCCAAACTACAAAGTTTGAGGTCACAGTTTCCAAGACTGTTCTCACTTCTGACACCAACTAAAAGGTTTGGGGGGAGGGAGGATCCCAAAGCACTCCCAGGGTTTTTAAGGCTGACTCACAGATATCACTGAAAGTTATTATAATTACAGTTACATTGTATTAAAGAAAGAGGGTACATATTAAAATAAGCTACAGGAAGCGATACACAGGGCAGAGTCTTGGAGGGCTCTAAATGTGAACCTTCTATTTTCCTCTCTTTGGAAAGTCAAGACACCTTATCTTCTAGTGTTCAAGTGTGGGACTGATATGTGCTGTAGGATTTCATTACCTTGGCATGATTGATTGATTGCCACATATACTCTGTCTCCAGTTGACTGATACCAATGACCCAGGGCCCCCCACCCCAAATCACATGGCTAATTTTCTGGTTTAGCCAGCCCCCACCCTGTGACTATTAGTTATGGTCTCTAGGCAACTAGGTAAAGTGGTTAGGCCCTATCGAAAATAGTTGAATGCATGTGAACCATGTCACCAGAGTCCATGGGAAACAATAGATAAAAGTATGAGGCAAACATAAAAAGAAAATAGGTCTAATTGTAATGTTAAGTAGAATTCAAACTCTGATCAGATTATGAGTCTGATCATTCAAGTTTCAGAAACCATAGTTCCTGTGTTCTAGAAACTGTTCAAGAACATATTAAAATTGATAGCTTCAGACTTCATTATAAGATTGATTTCTAAATCTGGTAAAAATAGTACAAAAAATTAGTCTTATGTTTATCCATGTTCCCAGTTTCATCATTTACTACTTGTGTGATCTTGAAAAAGTGACATAACTTTAAAAAAAATATTTTTATTAGTTTTCAGAGAGGAAGGGAGAGGGGAGAGAGATAGAAGCATCAATGATGAGAGAGAATCATTGATTGGCTGCCTCCTGCATGCCCCCTACTGGGGATTGAGCCTGCAATCTAGGCATGTGCCTTGACTGGAAATTTAACCCAGGACCCTGCAGTCTTCAGGCCGATGCTTGATCCACTGAGCCAAACCAGCCAGGGCATGACTTGTAAAACGAGTACCTATCTTATAGAGTTGTCATGATTTAATATACTTAAGAATCTTTAGAATTGTGACTGGCATTTTGTAAGCACTAAGTAAATGTTAATTTACATTAATGTAGATCAGAAGCAAAAATCTTTCATAAAATATTGCTAAGTTAAATGTTAATATATTTAAATGTATTTATAGTTTTTATTGATTTTTATAGAGAGAAGGAGGCATAGGTGGAGGAAGGAGAGAGAGAGAAAGAGAAAAAGAGAGTGTGAGAGAGAGACAGAGAGAAAGAGAGGGAAACATAGATGTGAGAAACATCAGTCTTTTGCCTCTCGCATGGGATTGAACCCGAAACTGGGCTATGTGCCCTGACCAGGAACCAAACCTGATATACGGGATGATACTCCAACCAACTAAGCCACACCGTCAGAGTGCACAGTTATTCTTTGTTTGTGATACCCTTGCTCCAGATCTTAGCTCTTCTGGTTCTGATTGTATGTTTAGTGGGGTCTTTAGTTCATGTGAACATTGTATCTGGATCTAGAATCTTCATTGGAACTTGAACTCAAGTTGAAGCCTCTTCCCACTGAGAAGGTTTCCCTTTCTGTTCTAGAAAGTGCTCTTTATCTGTGGCAGGAGCCAGCTGTGTGGGAGAGAAGCTGAACTAAAGAA